CTGCTATCTTCCACTTCTGCTGTGTGACTCCAGATTTCTCACAAGTGGTCATTTACTTGGATGGGGGGGGAGGTCAGGGGGGATGGACCCACTCTACCTCCCTTCTATACATGACAATTACTCAGATACATGGAGAGAGTTATCATGGTCCCTCCAGGCCTTTTTTTTTTTTTGGTGAGGCAATCAGGATTAAGTGACTTGCCCAAGGTCACACAGCTAGTAAATGTCAAGTGTCTGAGACTCAGGTCCTCTTGACTCTAAAGCTGAAGCTTTATTCACTGCGCCACCTAGCTGCCCCTGAAGTATTATTATTATTTGTTGGTGAGGCAGTTGGAGTTAAGTGATTTGCCCAGGGTCACACAGCTAGTGTTACGTGTCTGAAGTCAAATTTGAACTCAGGTCCTCCTGACTCCAGGGCCAGTGCTCTATCCACTGTGCCACCTAGCTGCTTCCAGGCCTCTTTTCTGCAGGCTAAGTTCCTTCAACTGATGTTCTGATGACATTATCTAAAGGCATGTCACCTTCCTCTGGCAAAGGGATCTTAGGATTTCTCAGGAACTGGACCACAAGAAAACAAAGCACCCCATGCTCTCTCCCTTCACCCCAACAATTTAGGAGTGACCTGTTTCCTATTCCAACATAGCTCAACAGTATCCCTAACTGACCCCCACACAGGTATTTCTCTGCTGGAGCGGCTTCTGAAGTACAACCCTCTATACCAGAAGGGCCCCAAGGGGTATAACCCCCAGCTCGTCACCAAGTTATTGCGCAACTACAGGTATCCCTTCCAAGATCCATGACATCCCTTCTCCTCCTCACCAAAACCCACCTCCTTTCCACCACACTCTCTTCCTATTGGCTCTCTTAACTGTCCTTCCATAAAAATAATGATAACTACTTTATATCATTTTAGCACTTTGTAAATCACAAAAGCACTTTCACAACCAGTATCTCATTAGGTACTCACAACAACTTGGTGAGATTGTGAGAACACCCATCATTATCTCAACAGATGGAAAAACAAACACAGTAAAGTTAAATGATTTGCCCATACAGCTAGGAAGTATCAGAGTGAGGACAAGAATGTTGGTCTTCTGACTTCTGTCTAACCTAGTGGTTTGTTTTTTTTTTCCCCCACTTAAAACACCTCCTCCTGGAGAGGTGTTTCCAGACATGGAAATTGGTGTCATGTGACTGCTCCTGAACGCCCCCCTAGCCAGTGGAGGTCAATGTTCACATATATCAATTTCAGGGGAGTAGAGAGGATAGGGGCAGAGGAATATATTAGAAGATTTAACCATGCAACATGACATTTGTGGGGTACCTTTCATGGGATAAAAAAATTGAAAAACAGTTCCTACACTTGAGGAGCTTAGTTTAATGGGGGAATAGGGTATGTACACAGCTAGGTATGAACACAAGTTAGCACCTGATGGCCAATAGAGAGCTTACTTTCAGGAGAAGGCATGGGGGACATCATGGAGGCAATGAATGACACATGAGCTGAGCCTTCAAGAGTGAAGGTGAGGAAGGAGCGTGTTCTAGGTACAGGGAATGGTCTAAGCGAAGGAATGCATGAATGCATGGAGGCAGGAGGGTGTAGTCCAGTTTGGCCAAAGCATAGTGAGTTGAAGTGGGGAGTGATGGCGTTGAAAAGGGTGGTTGGAGTAATATGGTCAGCATTGAGACAACTCCTTAGTAGTCTGGTCTTGTCCTGGTCCTCTCCTATCATCTCCCTCCCCCTTTCTCTCCCCAGGTCTCACCCTGACATCCTGTTCATCCCTAACAAGCAGTACTATGATGGTGAACTACAGCCATATGCAGACCGAATGGACAGAGAGCGCTATTGTTACTGGGAGGAGCTGCCTCACCAGGTTGGTGGGGGTTGGGGTAGAGGTTTCTAAGAGGGACAGAGCAAGGTCACTCAGGTTTTCTTCATCTGTTTGGAGTGCATCTACTGTTTCTTTAGGTTGGTGTGATGGAGATTTTTTAACCTGTTTTTTGTTTGTTTTTGAGTTTTTGTGGGGAGGGAGGGTGTTGGAATCTCCCATTGAGTAAACTTGTTTCAGATCTGTACCTAGTTTGCAATTGAGTCTTAGAGAGTTACTGGTTTGACTCACCCAAGGTCATTTATCTGATATGTGGCAAAAAAAAAAAAAGACTTCTTCCTGACTCTAGACTAGCTCTCTTAAAATTAAGGCACTTATCAAATGGAGGAAAGGCATTTCCCTCCATACCCCCTCAAACATCCCTTCCCCTTCCTTGGCTAGCCCAGGCTAACCTCTTTGTCCCATTTTTCACCAGAAAGGGGCAACTTGACGGGAAGCAGATGCTCAGGAAGACTATGTAAGGTCTTAGGGTGAAGGAGGGGGATAGTATCTTAGATCCCTTCTCTTCTCCTTTGCCATGAAGAGAGATGGAAGGCTACCCTATCTTGGTCAAAGAGCTTGATGGGGGGGAGGTAGGGAGAAGAGGCGGGTAAAGATGGAATCTCCTATTTTTAAGGCAGAGACATTCCTATGTGCAACACCTCTGTAGGTGGCCCCAGTGATGGGGAGGGAAGGCAGGACCACTTTGGGTTGACTGTTATTCCATACACTTATCATCCCAGGGCTTCCCAATCATCTTTCATGGTGTGATGGGCAAAGATGACCGTGAAGGAAACAGCCCATCCTTCTTCAACTCAGAGGAGGCAGCCACAATTGTTTCCTACCTGAAGAAACTTCTGACCCTATCACCTAAGAAAGGCCAAGGCCGGCTGAGCCCCCAGCAAGTGGGAGTTATCTCCCCGTACAGGAAACAGGTTAGACCTCAAACCCCAAGAGGGTGAAATGAGCACCGTAGGCCCGTCTTCATGATGTCACATTCACCCATAGGAGGGAATGGCTCTGTGGTGGCTGATCTAAGGTCCTTCTAAGGAAGTGAATGACTTCCTTTCCTAGCAGCCCACTGAAAGGAAAAGCTGGAAGAGATCTTACAAAATCATCTAATCCCAAGCCCTTCCTTGCTGCATAAGACATGGAGAGGTCAGGTTAAAAACCCACTTTTCTCTTGTTTCAGGTGGAAAAAATCTACCACTGTATCACCAGGCTGGATAAGGAGCTTAAGGGGCTTGACAATATTAAGGATTTGAAGGTGATGGCCTTTTAAATTCATTCTCTTCATCAAGGCCTGGGACTTCACCTCCATTCCCTTTTCTGCCCTGCTCTCACTTCAACCCACTCTGGGGGCTTCCCAGTGTACTGCCCTGATTTCTCATCTCTCCTGCCCTTCCTCCCTAACCAGTCCTCAAAATCCCACTTCCCTTGCTTGTAGGTGGGTTCTGTGGAAGAGTTCCAAGGCCAAGAGCGCAGCGTTCTTCTTGTGTCCACCGTTCGTAGCAGCCAGAGTTTTGTCCAGATGGATTCTGACTTCAACCTGGGCTTTCTCCGAAATCCCAAGGTTGGGCGGAGAGCAGATGGGGGAATGGGATGAGTTTTAAGGCCTGGGGAGATAGCTCTGGCTCTACCTCCTCCACCCCCAACCTTGTTCTCCCCTCCTTGTTGCAGAGATTCAATGTGGCAGTGACACGGGCCAAGGCCTTACTTATTATTGTGGGGAACCCTCTGTTGCTGCGCCAGGATCCTGAATGGAGAACGTGAGGAACATGAATCCTTTCCCATAAATCCTTTAGCCCCTTCCTCCCACCTTAAAACCTCTCAGAATTACCTAGGGCTAGTGGGGGGATGGGGACAGACATTTCCCTCTGCCCTGGATTCTAGGGAGGAGGGTGGACAGTGTCGTAATCTCTAAGGAGAGGACAGTAGCAAGGTCCTAGAGTTATGTTGTATCTTCAACTACATGCATACACACACACAAACACACACATTAAAATAAGGCAGGCTAAGCAAGTCACTTAACCTCTGAAACTTAATTTTCACCATGTGTCAAATGGGGATAACCGTACCCTACAACGAACATACAATGTCACTGTCCTTTCCCCTCCCACCTTCCCCAGGTTTCTGGATTTCTGTAAAAAAAATGGCGGCTACACTGGGTGCCCCTTCCCTAGCCTGGAAGTAGAGCAGACCCTGGAGCAACAGCTGAGCACCCTGAGCCTTGGCCCCTCTACCTCAGGTAAGGTAGCCCCAACACTAAGAGGTCACATCCCAACCCAAGGGTCTATAACAAACCCTTCTCTGCCCATCTGGTATTCCCTCCTCCTTTTTCTAGAAATTCACCCTCGTGACCATGCGCCCCTGGCAAGTGGCCTTCAGGAGCAAGTGGAACCACCCTGGAGAAACGAGCTTTAAGGAGACCCTTCCCTCTCAGCCCTCACCTCAGCCCTAACCCCAGCCCCAGCCATCAGCCAACCTTCATGCCTGTACTGTTCCAAACACTGAACAGAAGAATCCCACTGGGCAGGAAAGGAGGGAGGATAAGTGAGGATAGAAGGGAGAAATTTACAAACCAAGCCATTCCCCCTCCTCCTCTCAGCTAGAGATGACACATCTTCTGGGATTTTTTTGGGGGGGAGAAGGAAGAGGACTCTGGAAACAATAAAATTTGTTCTAAGCCATGACCTCTGGGCCTCCACTGTCCACCTCCCCACAGCTTCCTGCTGGGCCAGGCTCTCCCTTTCAAAAGAGGGGCGGAACTAAGAGAAAAAAAGGCAGGGAAAAGGACCTTGTCCCCACCCCCAAACCCTAGGGCTGAAGGAGGAAGCAGAGTGGGAGGTGGACCCGGAAAGCCACCCACACAGATTTCTAATTTTAGCCACAGCCAAAGGCCCCTCCCCTCCACTCCGCCTTCTCAGGCACCAGGCCAAGACTGACCTCACTCCAAGCCCAGCCTGGGGGAAAAGGGGGGTGGTGTACGGGTATTGCCCTACCTACCAGCCCCCTGGCTTAGCTGACTCCTTTTCCTCCAGGAAGGAGAACAGGAAGATATATCTGAGGGGAACAAAGTGGAGCGGGGGGGGGGGGGGGGGGGGGGGGAAGGAGAATGCCACAGAACAAATCTTGAGAGCCCCCATAGAATTTTATTGAGTGTCTTCCATCTGGAAGAACAATGAGAAATAATCCTCAGCCATGCCTAAAGTGGGGGGGAGGTGGGGAAGAGGGGAAGGAAGCTTCACTCACTGGGAGGCACACTGAAAAAGAACTAGGCTCCAGAACTAGTTACATAAAAAAAATGCTGGTGGGTGAACCTTAGGGCAGGATAAACAGTAAAGACCACTTCCCCTCACTCCCTACCCCTGCTTCTCCAACATGGAAAGCACAGTCCTATTTCAGATGGGAGGCAAGCGCTAAGCTCTGACACCCCCCCAGGATACATGGATGGTCCCTGTCCTCCTAAAGGATCTTCTCTACTCTCAAGAGCAGGAGAGCATTAGAACACATGCAGCCTTGGGCAGGAAGGGACCAAAAACTAGCAGTATGGAGTCCAATGGTGTGTAGACCTTGGTGGAGGGGGGGAGCTTAGAGGAGAGGGCAGCCCCGCCGCCGCTTGTTCTTTCGGACCTGCAGGCCAGCCCGGGTGGCCATCTCAAACACTTCTCGGACGCCCTCCTTGGTCTTGGCAGAACACTCAAGGTAGCCAAAGGCGCTGATCCGATTGGCCATGTCCCGGCCCTCCTCTGACCTCACAGGTTCCTGGTGGAGGAGTGGGAAAGGTTAGGAGGGAAGCTGAGGATTCCCCAGGCTCTCCTCTTGCCAGGAAGCAGAGGATGAGCTAAAAATATGGGTCCCAGTGCTTGGGTGGAGGGAAAAGCCAGAACCTAGAATGTATCTAATCTCAAGGGCTTCTGCTACTCTATTCCTTGGGGTCCACACACCCTTGTCCTCCCTCTTCCTTGGAGGTAATCAATCTCCCCAAGAACAGGGCAGCAGTTTGGGGAAGCTCTTCTCCAATGGGAATCTGCATCAGCTCAGCCCAGCCTCCCTTGCATCCCCAGGATGGCCCTCAGCCCCCACCTGCTTCATCTTGGCCAGCTCTCTCCGGGTATGCTCATCCTGCCTCAGGTCCTTTTTATTTCCCACGAGGATGATGGGTACATTGGGACAGAAGTGCTTTACTTCTGGTGTCCATTTCTCAGGGATGTTCTCTGCACAGAAGACCCCCACCACCAACACATGAACATAAGAAAGATGTCAGCTTCTATCCCCATACCTGGCAAACATTCCAGGACAAAACTGGTTATCTTAAAGGGCATTCTGGGAAAAGGTCATGTCTGTCCTGTCCCCATTCCTTCCCCCCAAAAAACCTCCCATATAGCCCTGGGTGACTTAGAATCTGAAACATATACAGGGCTGGCTGGCTCTGAGGGTTCCCATGGAATCTCCCATTGCCCACCCCATCCCCTATGCCTCACCAAGGCTGTCTGGGCTATCTATGGAGAAGCACATGAGGATGACATCAGTGTCAGGGTAAGAGAGAGGCCGAAGTCGGTCATAGTCTTCTTGCCCGGCTGTGTCCCATAGTGCCAGCTCCACCTTTAAGGACAGGCACGGTCAGTGGTCACTCCCCTCCAACCTCCCCCCCCCATCTCGGGAATCACAAGAGCATAGGTCTAGAACTGGAAGAAAACTGGAGTCCATCTAGTCTAATGCCCTTATTTTACAGATGAGGAAACTGAGGCCCAGGGCAGTGACAGGACTTGCCTAAAGTTATTAGACATGGAGCACCAGAAGGATTTGAACTCTGACTCTGTACATAGAGCTCTTTCTTTTGTACCAATCACTGAGTTTCTCAGTAGAGACTGACTCAGGCTAGCACTCTGCTTAACAAGTCTCTGCTTCCAGTTCTACTGGGCATTTTTAGTCAGCAATAGGATGGGAACAAATAACATCTAGGGTGGGTAATAACTCTTTTCTGGCCAATGGAAAAGGGTCCTTGCTGTGGAATGGGATGCTCCCCACGTCACCTGCTTGCCGTCTACTTCAATATCAGCGATGTAGTTTTCAAAGACAGTGGGGACATAGACCTCTGGGAACTGGTCCTTGCTGAAGACAATGAGGAGGCAGGTTTTCCCACAAGCACCATCCCCCACAATCACCAGCTTCTTCCGAATCGCAGCCATGGCTGCAGCTGGAAAAGATGAGATAAGAGTCAGTGGGGACAGCTGAACCTCACACAGTAAAGCTCCAGTCAAGCCCAAAGCATTCCCTTTGAACCCTATGGAAACAGATACAGAGGTGGAGGGGGTTTGCCCAGGCACATCCTTGTTATACAGGAGTGTCCTAGCTCCTAGCTTCAGGTCCCGAACTGGAGCTTGAGGTAGGACTAGGGAAAGGGGGTAAGTGAGCCCTCCCAGACCAGCTAGGATCACTCCCAGTGATTCAGAGGTAAGGAATCAGCCTTCCCCTAAGGCCAGGGAGATGTGTAGTAGCCCCTAGAATGAAAAGCAGAAAAACAGGGAACCCCCAGGCTGAGGACAGTAGCAACAGGCACAGATCCTCCTCCCGCCCCCCACCCCCAGCAGGCAACACAAAAGAGGCTCAGTCTTGGCAATACCCTCATCTTTGGTGCCCGGGAATCTTGCCTATCCCCCTCCCCCAAGGGCTGGCAGTTACACTGGGTCACTCAGCCCCAGGAGGGGGACAATAGCCACACTGTAGGGCAGTCACACACACACACACACACACACACACACACACACACACACACACACACACACACACACACGGCATCTCTGGCTGAAAAGAATTCACAGGAGAATAGCCTTCTCCATGTATCAGCCCTTCCTGGCTCCTCTCCCTCCAGCCCCCAACCAACTTCAGCTCCCTCCCAGGCCCTGCCCAGTCCATCCGACACCCCTCCCTGTGACTCAGGCTAGGAGAGTCAGCTTCCTGGGGTTTCCAACACCAACCTCCCCCAACACACATGTCCAAAACAACTCATCACACCTTCCTATCACATAGACCAAGCCTGGCCCAGCTCCCTTCCCCTCAACCAGGAAGAATCCCTTTCTCCTGTTTCCCTGGGGAAAGGCACTGACCTGGCCACTTTTGGTAGCTCTGGAAACCTGATGAGCTTTGTGTGTAGAGGACTGTAACCTAGCTAGGAGGGGCCCCAAAAGGATGAGATAAATAAGGTTTAATCTAAGAGCAGCTGTACAAGGAGGGGGAAACAACTGAGGAAATCTAGTTCTGGTACTGAATCCTGTTGGTCTACGTTCTCAGTTTCACTTATGGGCTGCTGTCCACTACCTTTGCTCCTTCACCCCAAGTGCAACCAGGCTGAACCAAACCCCCCCCCCCACGCTCCTCCAAGTCATTTCAGACTGCCAGGGTCTAGAACCTTCCTTTCTCTAGGAAGAAACCTTTAATCAGAGTAAAGGAAAAACATTTCCACCAGTATGGAAATAATGACCATTAGGGTTAACCTGGTTGTAAGTATTAGGACTGGAGGAGGGAGAAGAGGGTCAGAAAGAATAAGTATTAAATTCATCCAGTTCGATGAGGGTCTACAACAAGGGACAAAAGTGGTGTACTGGAAAGCAGGATGGACTAAAAAAAAGCTCAGGGATTTGCTTCAAATCTCATTCCTCCCACTTGAGTGATTGTTTCCCGCCTTTAACTCCCTGGGCCTCGGTTTTTTTGGTCTGTAAATTGAGGGGTTAAATTATCTCTCAGATTCCTCTCAGCTCTAAGTCTTATGCCTGAGGTGCCATACCACGTAAGGGCAGACATGAGCACACTCCATAAGCATCACATTATTAATTAAATTAAAGACAAAAGACCCTTCCTCCAGCTATAGATTCAAGATTCCCTCTACAAACCATCTTCCTCTACCTCAAATTTCAGTGGACAAACACTGGCAAAGTCAGCTAGATAGGAGACTTCGGACAGAGAAGGGAAGGGCTAGTCCCCACTAAAGTACTCTCCCCAACAAGGGACAGCATCAGATTTGGGGAAAGCCCCACTAAGAGGGGGAGGGGGATCCTACTGCAAGACACCGAGGTGCCACTGCTCTAGCCTACCCCAGTTTCCAGGGCAGAAGCTGGAGATGAAGGTCAATCAGAGGATAGCCAGGGTTCCTATTTTTGAGAAAAGAGCACTTGTGCCGGGAAGGAGCATGGCTGAAGTCAGCTAAGCTGGCTGGCTGGCTAGGGTGTGTTGCTGTGACTTCTTCTACAGGAGGATAAGAGGGTCAGTTCTCCCTACTCCCTTGTTTCAATTCAACTCCAGAATTTAAAGATGAAGAAACTGAGGCCCAGGAAGGTAAAGTGAAAAATTGCCACACAGGACTTAGGAGTGTGTTCCAGGTCTGGCACCAATAGCTCCCAGGAAAAAGGCAGCAGGGCTGCCCCATTAACCCCATCCTTGAGGCCTTAACTAGGCCTCAGCCAACCAACCCCCCCCCCAACCCCCAGCATGACCATTTCACTGGATCCCCTTTAAGGTGGAGGGGCTAGAGACTGGGGCTTCTCCACCAGGCCTGTAAGAAGTCACACCTAGATTCACCAACACCCTATTCCAAAGAGGCTGCTTCTTGCGTTTCCAGGGTGACATGACCTGCCCTGAACCACCCACCCTGGCAGAAGAGAAACTCTGGGTCACAAACCTCAACTTTGAAACCAACTGGAGACTTTGGATATTGGGAAGAACAGGGCGTGGGGGGTGGGGGGTAAGTGAGGTCAGAATCTTCTCTCTCTCCAACCTTGTAATGGGGCCAGTGGAGTTTTTAACTTGGGTCTGTCAGCTTGGATGGGGGGAAAAATTACTTTTATTAACCTCTAAAATTTAGCATTTTCTTCAGTTGGAAAGGCGAGAAACAAACCATTATCCTAAAAAAAAAAGTCGGCCGTCGGTTACCCCGAACTGCCTGGGGGGTGGTCCATAACAAAAAAGAGTCTGGGGTGGTAGAAGGGTTTTGGGTGGGGACAGAAGGGTGGGGTAAGAGGCCTTTTAGAAAGAGTTAAATCTTTCTTACCACCCTCCCCCACCCACGGCCTGACCTCCAGGAATGCACCAGGAGGGGTGGGAGTTGCATTAGGATTCCCTAAAACAGAATCAGCGGAACACTCTTACTCCAAAAGAACCATCTCGAGCCAGGCTCAGCCTATCCCCTTTCCCCCACCCCCGTATTCCAGGGAGTGGACTGAACTCATCGGCCCCATTCCCTCCCTAAGTTAGAACCACGCTGGGGTTCGCAGCCCGCACTCCAGCCTGAGAGCCAGGACGCCGGGGTCTGCCTCCCAGTAACCTAGGGCCACCCAGCGCTCAGCTAGGCAGAGGGGAAGGGTTTCAGGAAACCGACGGGACGGGGGGAGGGGAAAGGGTCAGGGGGCCCAGTCTGCAAGGGGAGAAAAGAGAGGAGAGGAGATAGAAAGGAGAGGCAGGAGGGGAAGGATGGCGCTGCCTCTTCTTCCCACCCCTCACCCAGTCCCTCATCCCGGCGCAGCCCACGACGGCAGCGGCGTCCACTGGGCAGGGCAAACAGGACCCTTCCCCCAGCCAGGGAGGGAATCGGCCGCGGGCCAAAGCCAAGGCTCCCTCGCTCCCTACCTGGCATCGAGGAGCACAGGCCGGAGAAGGAAGAGGAAAGCCACTGGGCTGCCCCCCCGCCCTCACCCCCAGGACAAGTTCGCCGGATCCCCAGCCCCTTTCCCGGTACCTCGGGCTCCACTGCTGCGCAGTCACTGTGCGAGGCGAAGAGACTGACCCGGGGGTGGGGGCCGCCTCGCCCTCCTTCAGCGCCGCCTCGGGGAGGGGGCGGTGCGGGGAGGTGGGGGGGTGGGGGTTGTGTCGGGCGGGAGGAGAGGGCGGGGAAAGGACGGGGGAAGAGGTTGAGCTTAGGCCGAGTCCGGGAGGGACACGCCCCTCTCTCCCTAACCCTCCAGTCCGCCACCCGGAGTTCCGAGTCCCGATTGCCGGGCTGGCCACGCTCAGGGTTGCCCGCGCTTAAGGGGGAAAGGGGTGCGAGCCAGCGGGAGGACCCAGGAAAAGTTAGATGCCCAGACTTTGGGGCTGGGGGTGCCCCAGGACACAGCCTTCGGGAGGCTACGGGAAAGTTGGGAGAAGCTCTGGGCGGGGTAGGGTCCGGAAGCGGCCGCGGCTGCCCTCCCGCGGCCTACTCAGCCAGCGCTCCCGGGTCCCCACCTGGGTCTAAGGAGGAGAGGTGGGGGCTTGAAAAAGCCAGGGGAGGGAGGCAGGCCTGCGGGGTCACTCCTCCGGATCGCCTGCCCTCTACTGAGGACCAGCCCCCTCCCGCTCTCAGCTTTTCCCCAAAGCACAGACACACGCAAGTTTTGGGGTCCGTTTGGTTTATTTACACACAGCCCAGGGTATGATGAAACCAGCTGACAATGCCTGCCCAGTGAAAGTACTACTGAAGAGTATTATGGAACCAGCTGCAAGGTCTGGGCTGGGGAGGAGCCGGATTCTGAAGAAGCTGAGGGAGGAGGGGACTAGGCCCCTTAAGTATAGCTGCCGGCCCCCCCTAGTGGGATGACGAAGACAGAAATATCATCGCCAGAGCCCATTTTGTTATTGGGGAGCCGCCAGCCCTGCTCCCTGGAGATGCCCCTGGCCCCCAGGACCAGGGTTTGGGCCAATGCAGTGTACCTGCCAGGAACACACATGTACTCAGGTTACCTTCATGTAATAAAAAAAGTAATGGTCATGATGATGTGGCACCTTACACTGGTATCATCTTTCAGCTTTCCTATTTACTATCTCACAACCCTATTTAAACTTGGTGTTATTTATGGACTCATAACATTGAGAGCCTCAAAGACTTTGGAGATTATAGTCTAGCCATTTTATGGATAAGGAAACCCAAGGCTACAGAAATCAAATGACTTGCCCAAGGTCTCAGAAACAGTAGTAGGGCTGAGATTTTGTATTATCCCCATTTTACAAGTGAAGAGACTAAACCAAAATAAGTTAGGTGTCTTGCCATAGGTCACCTAGATAATGAGCGGCCAAATGGTAAATTGAAGTCCTGTGCTCAAGAAACACAGGCAAGTAACATGCATGGAGACATGTAGAATTTGACTCCTCTGTCACTTTTCAACCTCACCTGCTCGGGTCATTGGGCTCGAAGCTGGACAGTACTTTGTCCACAGTGTCAGCCACATCTTTGTCACTGCTGACATCCCACAATCCATCTGTGCCCAGGATTAATACATCATCTGGGCAGTGCTCATATTGGGTAAGGTCATATACCTGTACCTGGAGAAGTATAGGGTGGAGTGGGTAAATAGGTAGGTGGGTCAGATAGTCACTGGAGGTAGAGGATGGGAAAGTCAGTAGGGCAGGACAAAGGGCTAAGGAGGGATGGGAATTGTGTAAAACTTGAAAGGAGGCCATTTTAAAAACTTTCTAGATTAGTAATTCAAGGGAGTAATTATAGGGATGCAAGATTTGAGAATCAGAGGAAGAGGAATGTTAGGGGCTCAAAAAAGTCAGAATGTCCAGGGGTAGGGGGTGGGAGGCCTGATACAACTCACCTCAGGGAAACAGGAGAGGAAGGGTTTGACAGGCAGAGTAGAACTGGACACCTTAAGATTATGGTCACCCAAGCCCCGGGTCACTCCAATAGTGGCCATTACCCGAGCCTGAAAGGAATGGGCATGAATTTAAATTCTTCCTCATAACCTAGGTCTTTTAGACCATTTGTACACTGATTCTCTAGCTCTATAAAAGATTGCTGCTGATGTCTCCTTGCAGGCCCCCCCCCCCAATCTGGTCTCCTTCCCTCCATCCACCCCCTACCTACCACACACACACTTCCCCATGGGACTTTACCTTTTTGCCTTCTCCACAAACCAGGGGAAACCTGAGATCTTGCAGTTCAATCTTTTTATAGGCCCTGGGGAGGGGGAAGCAGGGAAAATACTGCCCAGATATCAAGCTACTTCATCCCTCCAAGTAGAGGCCACCCTGACTCTCACTCAAGTTCCCTGGGAAAGGAGCATCTGTCCCCATAACCAACCTCCAGCCTCCGCCCCAGGGCAGTGAGGCACCTGGGTTACCAAGGGAAGGGCCTCCCAGGGACGGGGAGATGAGTGGACCAAGCAATAGCCAGCAGAAAGGCAGCGTTACCAGCCAGTCATGCTCTGGTCCCGATACAGCATTCGTTGACCCAGCTCTTTCGGCTGGACTCTCCGGGGGAACTCGAGGTGGGTGAATTCATTGCCCAACAGCTCTGGCTTCAGGAAGCCCTGATGGATTGTGGCAGGGGTTGGTGAGGAGCAGGTAGCACCCAAGGGAACTGGGGGATCAGGATGGTCATGGGGATGTGTCACATCGCCCCCCACTGTTGCACATAATTTATCAGTGCAAGCCAAATTTGTCCCTCAGGCTACAGCAACGTGTGACTACCTCACAGTGACCAAAATATTCCCCTTTCTATCTAGTGAATCTTCTTCCCTCCTTACTCTTTTACCTTAATCCCCCTCCTCGACTATAGATGCAGAATATGAAATTGAAATGGCCTACATTTCTTCCCATCAGATCATCATCTCAGTTTAGAGCAGGGGTGGGGGGAGCCTTTGCCCTCAAGGCCTCATGTGGCCCTCTAGGTCCTCAAGTGCAGCCCTTTGACTGAATCCAAACTTCACAGAACAAATCTCCTTAATAAAAGGATTTGTTCTGTAAAACATCCAAGGACCTAGAAGGCCTAGAGGACAAAGGTTCCCCACCGCTGGTAGACTTTCCTCAGCCTAGAGGGCAACTACTCATTACAGCAGAGAAAACTGAGGCAAAGTCTGTGTATAAAGTAAAAGGCATGGCAGCCCTGGGGAAATCTGAGGTTCAGGAGAGGTGTGAGAGAAAAGTGAGGGTTGGGTCTCACTTACGAGGAGTTGCAGCCTCTGTCTTTCTGTCTCAGGGGTAAACTCCCGAGACATTGGAATGATGTCCCCATTTCGGACAATGATAGCCCTAGGATGAGGGAAGGGAATGTAGAACCGACTTCAAGATCAAACCAATCTCCAGGGCTGAGGATGCTTTGGCCAGACCTCCCCAGGCCCTGAGACCCTCTCCCGACGAATTCCCCCATAATTCTTCTGTCCCTAAGTGCCACCCCATTGCTATCTCTGACTTCCCATACCTCCCCTGCCTTCTTTAAGCATGTAGTTTCTTTATTCTCACAACCATTGACGTTTAGCCCCTAAAACTAGATTCCTCTCCATTCTCCTTGCCCCACCATACCTGCTGTCTCCAGCATTGGCCACATACATCTTCCCTAGGAGGTAGACTGCGACCAGGGCACAGCAACCGCCTACTGCATACTGATTCCTCTGCTCTCGTGCCATGTGTTCATCCTGCCATCAGGGAAGGATGGGAGAAGTGTGAAGGCAGAGAGTTGGAGATAAAGAGGTTCATCTCAACTCCAGGGAGAAATTGTGACCCATATCCATCCCTGCCCCCAGTTCAACCTGACTACATTGTTGGCATGACAGAGACAAAGGGGTACAGTGTTGGGGGGTTGGTCTGAGGTTCTGCTTAGATGAAGAGTCAAAAATGGATGGAATCCACAGAGCTGGGAGAAAGAAAAGAAAACCTTTTCCTCTCCCTTTCCTCAATTCTCTCTAAAGCTGAGCTCATAGAGATTCTTTGGACCTCTCCCTTTTGGGCAGAGGGGTCTGTTAGTCTGATACCTTCCACTAACATCTGCCCTCCCAACTCATGGGATCAACCATGACTCTCTCATGAGGGCTAAAGTGTCTCCCTCCCCACCCGGTTACTCTTCTTGCCTCTCACCATGAACTGGAAAGCATTCTCAATGGCCCCCACCACTAGGCTCTCATGGGTCACCTCTTTCTGCAATGGCCAGCATGGCTGGGACCCACCAGGGCATGAGAGTTCCAAGGAGACAGAGGCCTCAGTAGTGGATGGAAGGCAGAGAGGGGGTGGAGAAGGGTCCTGCAGGATCTCCACTAGGCCTCGAAGCTGCTCCCGAATATGTCGATGAAGGAGTCTAGAGGCCATCTCTGCTGCCCCACCCCCTGCATGCCCATCGAACAGGCCCCAATAGTGGAAGTAGAGACCCTGGTTGCCCTGAAGAGAAATGATGAAGAGGGTGAGATGTGTAGGAAAAATTTCTAGAGGACCAAATCAGGTCAATAAAGGATTGGATTAGAGAAAAGCATCAAGCTTAGGGGTCAGAAATCTGAGGTCAGATAGAATCAAGGCCAAAGGTCAAACCAGGAACCAGCTCACAAGGGTTGGAGCACTCATTGTGTGTGAGATGTAAAATAAAAACTAAAGAATTTTTTAAAAGGGGGCTCAAGGCCGACTCTAGCAATTTTGAAAAAATCCAAGTAAACAACAGGTTAAAAAAATCAAAAGATGAAGATGAGAAAGTCAAAGCTGAGCAGTTGGTTAATTAAGGTTTGGGCCAAGGTGAGCAAATAACTTTCCCTAGAGATTTCATATTTTAGAACCAGTGGAAGGGTCAGGGGCATGAGGAACTCACCTGATCACTGATGGATTTCCCTGGCCCACCCATCCTGGCCTGTCTGGATTCAACATAAACCACTTCACAGCATGCCTGGTCCTCATTATGGCGACTCTTGCCTGCGTTAATGACCCTGCCAGGCCAGATTGACCACATCAGGCTGGACACACAGCCAGACACCCAGAAGAACTCCCTTCCCCCATCATGTTCAGCTGGCCCGACAAGTGTTGAAAGGTCAGAGCTGGGATACAGGCCAGAGGCAGGCGATAGGATGAGAGGGAAGGGAAGTATACAAAGAGCCTTGGTGTGGGAGTTCTACTCTCACCTTCTGAGAGAAGCTCCATGCACTACCTCCCCTCACAACTCATTTCGACAAGGAAGAAGGCCCCTTCAGTTAGAAAGGGTCTCTAGGGAATGACTATAGCGGGGGTGGGGAATGAAGAGGAAAGGACTTCCTCAGCTCCTGTCTCCTGTATCTTCCAGGAGGTAAACCAAACTCTGGGCTGCAGATCCTAAAATGGGATAAGGAACGTCTCTGGTCTTTTGCAAAATGAGGAAGTGCAACAATTCAGGAAAAGAGGAATTATAGAGGGAGGGGAAGACACCCCTTGGGTATGCCCACAGCACACAGCCCATGGGAACTGGGAATGACCATGGGGGGGCAGGGATTATATCATCACCTCTTCCTACCCTCCACCTGCTCCATCCCACTTCAAGCTTTTGCTTTCCCGGCAGAGGTATTAAAAATGCATCCCAGGCTGGGAACTCGCCCTGATCCTGACTCCCGAGGCCGAAGAGCTAACCTTGACCCTGGCTTGGCTCTGCTGCCCGGAAGGAACTGTCCAGCTCCCCCTCCCTCTCCACCTGCCCGTAGCACCTCGCGCTACAGCCCCCCTCCCCAAGAGAGCAAGACTGAAGCTTCGAGTCCCAGGCTATTTCTGGTTGTAGAGGGGGAGGGGAATGTCTGGTCCTGAGGCCAGGAGTCGGCGGGGGTGGGGGTGGGGGGCTTCCTGGCTCCAGCCTAGTTCCTCTCTTAACAGATCCTCCTTTTTTTCTCTCTCGCACTCACTTACACATTAAGTATCGGCTTGCGAGCTGAGAAGCTACCAACTTATACCACAGGTTCTCCAGCCTCGCCCTCTGTCCCCCCGCCCCAGGATGGTGGGGTGGGAATCCCAGAAAAGAGTGAGGGGGGCGTGAAGGGATCCCTGAGTGGTGAGACTTTGGGGACACCAGCCTCGAGCCGAGATTTCTGGAGTCGGGGCATCCCAAAAAGAGACAGGGGTCCGAGGGGCAGGGGCAGGGAGGGAGAGTGAATCTCAGGATTTCAGGGGCAAATCTGGGGGTAAGAGGGGTCCGGGCTCCTAAGATGCCATTCTGGAATGGAATCAGGGCGGGGGGCTCACTCGGCATAGCCCGTTCTCCAGGGCAGGCGGCGGCCTGTGTCCGGGGGACTCTGCACGACCCGGCCTGCGTGGTCTTCTGCTCGTCGTAGACCCCTGGGACTCAGCTGCAAGAAGGTTGGTCGAGAGAAGCTCCCCCGATTCTCCACAGCGCCCCCAGATGCCCTAGTTCCTCTTTCAGCCCCCGCCGGAGGGCTCCGAGGTGCCACTGGGTGAGCAATGGGGTTGGGCGACGCTGGGGTAGGGAGCACGCTGGACCCAGACCCCGGTGGGCCCCCGGAGCTGACCAGGTGCGCCACCGCGGAGCGCACTCGGTGTAGCATGCTGCTACTCTTGGCCCCGCCTTCAGAACGCCCCACCCCCTGAGGGTTCTGGGAGGGATGTACTGAGACCAGCCCTACTGATCTGGGGACTGGGTGAGCTCTAAGCTACGCTTAACTCTCCATCACTGGCTTCCCCTTCTCCCAGGCCAGCTGGGGAGCAGCATCACCTAGCCCTGTTTCCTGCCTCCTCCCTTACCTCAGTTTCCCTTCACTGACCTGGGAAGGAAATGGGTCACCTGTCTGTAGGAAGTGGCTTGGGACTCCAAGTCTTCTTTGTACTAGGCCAGACTTCAACTAGGACTCCCTTTCTGAGTAGCTGGAAACCAGTGAACAAGGGAAAATCCAAGAGGTTTTTTTTTAGTGGCACTCTCTGAAAGTGGGCTCCAACTGCATACTGGACTTTCGAGGAGGACCTTCCTGAAGGCAGAGTCAGACCAGATTACCTCAGTGCCTTAACTAGGTGGCTGCCCTGAGGAATTCAGTGTCAGCAGCCTCTGGGTGCATGTGAGGCTGCCTGGTGACCTAGTGTGACAACACCTCTGGTGAGACTACACCAATATGTGTGTGTGTTTGAGGGGGGAGGATGGGAGAGAAGGGGAAGGCAATGACTTTGAATATAAGCAAACTATCCTGAATTAGTGAATTAATTGAAGGTGTAATTCCCCTATGGTCATTTTCCCATTCAGACCACCTCCTGTGGCAAAGGCTCTGCTATCATGCTGTCTTTCTTTTCCCTCGCTACCCTCAGCTTCTAAGCCCCATTACTTCCTTTCCTTTGGGTTGCCACAGTCTCATGACACCCTATTTTATCAGTATCAGAGATCTAAGTGGGCCCAAGTTTTTTTTAGGGAGGAAGTGGTATAGGTGATAACTGACAAAGTAAATTCAGTGGGACACTGAGCCTGTCACATAACTACCACTGGAGGGAGTCACAGGCCAAGCTAATCATCTTTGGTTGGGGAAAAAGGACAGCAAAACAGGTGCACAACAGAAAATCGGAAAAAGGGAGAGACCAAAACAAGGACAGAGTCAGGATATTAGATGTGTGTGTGTGTGTGTGTGTGTGTGTGTGTGTGTGTGTATTCCCAAAGGATCTGTGATTTCATCAGCTTGGAGAACTTTCTTCACCATTAGAGATCACAAGCTGCCTATGATTTAGCCTGAAACACAAAAAGGTTTATCCCTTATTCAGGGTCATTCACTTAGGAAGTGTCAAAGGCTGGTCCTGAGCTCAGGTCTTCCTGACTCTAAGCCTAGCACTGACTAACCACTAAGCCACAATGACTCCTTCCCCTTCATCCCCCTGGAACTAAAAAGATCTTAATAAATGTCTGTTGAATTGAACTGAAGGCATAGATAAGAATTAAGTATGTCAATTTTCCAGAAATACCCTAGTTCTTATTATTCAGTGTTTCTGGGGCATCTCTCTGCTTTCTTGTGTTACCCAGCCATTCTTTATGCTTTCCATTCCTCACTCAACTACAAGGGATATATCTATATCTATATATCTTTATAGTCAGGATCTTGTAGACTTAGAGTATTCAGTCATGTCCAACTCTCCATGACCCCATTTGGAGTTTTCTTGGCAAAGATACTGGAGTAGTTTGCCATTCTCTTCACCAGCTCATTTTACAGATGAAAAAACTAAGGCAGATAGAGTTAAGTGATTTGCCTATGATCACACAGCTAGTAAATGTCTGAGGCCAATTTGAACTTCCAAAGATGAGTCTTCCTGCTCTGTCTACTTTGTCACCTAGCTGCCCCATTTACTCACTAAAAATGAGGTAATCAGACAAGAGAGTACACTAGCCACTAGGACAATTAGGAAAGGCTTTATGTAAAAGATGCTTGAGCTGAGTTTTGAAGGAAAACCAGTCATTCTAAGAGGAGGAAAGGTGAGGAGGCAGAATATTCCAGACAGTGAGGTATGGAGTAAGGAAATGGAGAGAAAGCATCAAGTGAGCTAAGACTGTGCTAGAAGGAGAATAATGCATGGGAAGAGTGGTGTGGTAGGAAAAGCTAGGTTGTTAAGAGCTTTCAATGCCAGACAGCTTTTTTATTTGATCCTAGAGGTAACAGGGAGCCATTAGGATTTATTGAGTAGGGAAATGACTTGGTCAGACTCGTTTGTACTTTAGGAAGAGCACTTCAGCAGAAGGATAAATGTGGCTCCTGGAAGCCAAAAAAACTTACTCATCAGTCAGGTTTCCTCCCATAATTAGGAAGCTTTTCGCTTGAGATAGCGGGTTTGGAGGGAAATAGGGTGGTATGATCAGCTGAGGAGGCCCAGAGGATAACCAGACTGAAGGTGCAATCAAACCCAGAATCTTAACTCTGCCTCCAATAGAGAAGGCAGAAGGCAGACCCAGTCTAGGGGTACAATGGTCATGGGTCCCTGGGGAGGGTCGGGAAAAGGTCTAGCAAGGGGGTGAGAAGAAAGTGGGGGCATATCAATGCCCCAGAGCACACCTTGGTTGCCCTGTACTAGTTGGTTCTGACTTTGGCTACTGGCCGGTGCAGTCCTATAGGGTGTCTCTGGGCAGGGAGTACAAAGCCAGCCTCATTCACCCACACTATCCCCAATACCCCCAACTTGAGGCCAAGGCATCAGTCAACCCTACAGGGGTGGGGAGCCTGCAGTCTCCAGGCCACATGTGGCCTAGGTCCTTGGGTGTGGCCTTTGACTGAGTCCAATGTTTGCCGAACAAATCCTTTAATTAAGGGGATTTGTCCTGTAAAGTTTGGATTCAGTCAAAGGGCTGTACTTGAGGACCTAGAGGGCCACATGTAGCATCGAGGCCGAGGGTTCCCCATTCCTGCCTTGGATAGAGTAGTTTTTTTTACATATTGTCCCCTATTCCCTCCTTTTTCTAGTCTCCATGAAAGTATGAATACAATTTTATTTCTTAAAAGAGGAACTTCTTTGGTTTCAAGAACTGAGTTAGGAAAGGAGTCTTTCACAGCTGTGTTCCTAAGCCCTGGGGGACTGCATTAAAAATACAAGTCTATAAAAAGTAACACTTAAGTCCCTCTTTGCACACCCGCCCCCATGTTGCACCCTGGGTGACTGTCTACCTTACCTACCCTTAGTTCCAGTTCTGTCAACACTTCTTGCCCCTCCCTTCACCGCTCCGAGGGCGCATCAGGAAACGGACCAAAGAATGGTGTCATTTCAGAGTTGGAAGGGACCTTAGAGATCATCAGACCTTGGAGACGGGCGTATCTTTCCTGCGAACTTGTCAGTGTGAGCTCAACCAGCTTGGTAATAAATGTTACTTATAGAATACAGGAGCAAGAGGCGAGGGACTGAGAATGGGCGGGGGATGGGGTTCGAGGTGTTCCCCAGTCCCCTCCTTCTTCGTGCGGCCGCCAGAGGCCGCTGCTCCCTGGTCCCCGCTGGCCACCCCCTCACAGACACTGGTCCCGCTGTCCCCACTGTCCCGGCTGGGGCTCTCGTGGCTTAACGGGGCTCGGCGGTGCTGCGCTGCGCTCTTCTGTGCTGCGTTCTCCTGCGCTGTGCCCGGCGCTGTCCCAGGAGTGGTCGCAGGCTGCTGGCGGGTGGTGCAGGGCTAGGGGAGCGGAGGCGGCCCGCAGCGGACAAATACGCAGCGGCTGCGCGCTTTTTACCCTTTTGAGGCGGGAGAACCAGAGAGAGGCAGCTGAGCCGAGCTCCGCAGAGCTGGGCTGGGCCGAGCCCGGAGCTTCTCAGTGCCGGAGTGGCACCCTCGAAGACAGTCTGGCTGGTGTCCAACTGCACCGAGAGCTCAGCGACTTGGTGACGGAGATCCAGCGGTTCCAGACAGTGCCCGACCGAACGAAACCGGGTCAGTGCAGCGACTGCAGAGCGGCAACGGCTCTTTCCCGGCTACAGGCTCTCAGGTCCTTGGTCCTCAAGTGTAGGAGCAGGCGCGACCTCTGGTTCGGTGGGCAGAAGCGGCCGCAGGTACGAGACACGAGGAAGCCCCAGGCGTCGAGATCTGGGAGGGTGTTTAGAGGGGCTGGGACAAGGAGGGGGAGGGTAAAGTGGAGGGAGTCCTGTCCCGTGGGCTAGGATGAGACTGGGAGTTCCTCATGTCCGCATATCCAGCCCTGAATTTCTTCTGTAAGGTAGGGCACTATTAGTTATGATGTGTGGAACAGAGGGAGAGGAGAGGAGGGTCTTATCCCTTCCAGAGCCTGGGTGGTGATTTGGTGCCATGAGCATCACCCCTCGGAGACAGGAGGGGAAACTGAGGCAGAAGCAGACACTAAATCCTTCGATATCGTAGCGAAAACAGACCCCCAAGGAGAACCTACTTTCTCCACTGAGAGAGGGAGTGGATGGTCGAAGGAAGACTGTTGAAAAGGCCTCCGTCGAGGGCACCAATCTGTCTCCTTTCAGCATCCTTCCCTCAGTGTATGCACAGCTTAAGGCCCCTTGGAGCTGGGAAGGAGGCGTTCCTGTGGATTGTAAGAATTGGGGGAATGGGCCAGCAGAGAATAGGGGTATAGGAAATAATCGAAATGAAATTATTTATAAGTATAGGAGAGAAGTGACCAGATCCTAGTTGAGTCGCCTTTCTGATCCCCAGAGCTCCTCCTACCTACCAAACTGTGTGGATGTTAACTCCACGGGTAAAATGGACACAAAAAAGGATTCCCCACCCCTATCCCCCTTTCTCTTCCCTCCCTTCAAAACACCCTATAATCTTTCTACTAGGGGTAAAGTGAAGTCTGACCAGCTCTGGCAAGATCACTGACTCCATCCCTACTGGTGGAACTGGGAACAAAAACACCAGGGTCCCTCCCCCAACTTTGTGGTCCTGAGTGCCATCTTTATGGTTTAATTTGTGCCACTCAGCCTGTGTGTGTGTGTGTGTGTGTGTGTGTGTGTGGTGTAGGGCTATCCCTTGAAAGAAAGAGTAACTATTGGGGTCCTGCTCTCTGGGGATCAGAGACCTTCTGTGATCTCACCCTCTAGAATAGATAGGGATGTGAGAACAGTAAGAGTGGAATTAACTCAATTTATCCTTCAAAGAGAAAGTGACTAGAGACCCTACAAGGGCCAAGGACTGTGGTAGACGGGGAATTGGAGATAGATGGAGTAGAACCCAGTTCAGGGTCCCTGAGGGGAGGGTCTCAATTCCTTTATGGTTTCCACCAGGAAAAGAACCAGATGTTTTCTGTTCCTTGGCTGTATTTACATCCCTCAGTTCCCACAAGAATTGTTACCCAGCCAGCCCCAACCTATTCTATCCCTTTGTCTCTGGGGAAACACAATTCTCTTCACCCCAGAGTAGGCACAAAGAATTCTTCAGTTCCAGTTCCCTAGATCTCTCATCTGTTGATTGGAGGGGGAGAGGAGATGCCTTCAGATAGGGATCCATCATTTGACCTGAAGTCTTTGAGAAAAGAGGAAACATACTCTCTCCGGGGAAAGGAAAGGAGCAAGAATGGTTTAGGACCCCTGAAAATTTTGCCCAGGGATCTAGCATTTGAGGGATTTGCCTGATTAACTTTAGTATCCAGCACCCCCCCAACCCCACAAGTATCTTCCTCTTCTCTCCTTGCCCTTTAACATTATACTCAATCTCAAATTCTCTCTGTCTCTGTCTGTCTGTCTCTTTCCTCCCAGAGACCCCAATGTTTTCTCCCACTTACCCAGGTGGAGTCAGTTTGAGTCCAGTGTATTTACAGGCAATAGCTGGGAGCCCAGTAAGAGGTGAGTCAGGGGGAGATGGGCCAAATTAAAGGGAGGTAGCTAAGGCTTGGCAGAAGAAAGGAAGGAAGGAAGCATACTGACTCCACCTTTTTTTGTGGGCTCCAACTCCATCCCATGTTCTGAGAGGCTATTTTCCCCATTGGTTTCTTCTGGTTTGGGTACCATCTTCCTATTCTGGGAGCCCCATAGGGTTCCCTCCATTTCTAGCCTCCTTCAATGTTGTATTTGGGAACCCTATTCTGGTTGGGATTGAAAGAGGAAAAAGAAGAGCATAGGAGATGTTGCAGTTTTACCCCTGTTCCATACCCACACATGTTGTCTCTGTCTTTCTTCAGAATGAGTGAGAGGGACTTTTGGAGCTGGAGCACAGGATTCTGTCTTTTGGTGCTCTGCTTGGCCACACCATGGGCACGGCTGGCATTTGCTTCATCACATCCTCGGACTCACACAGGTTTTTGTTTGTTTGTTTGTTTGTTTTCTGGGAAGGGGGACATGAGAAATGTGCCTTTGAAAGGCATGGGACTCTTGGAGAGGTTTGGAGCTCAAATGAGGAGGGGTATCCTCTGCTTAACTGGAATCATAGTTTGACTAACATGACTTTGGACCCTGCCTCATGGGAGTAGAGAAAAACTGGAGAGCTAAGCACTATCCATCCTGAACAGATGCTAAGCTTAGTGGGTAGAATTTCCAGAGACTTTTCACTTGGTGCTGCTTTCTGTCTCCACGTTTAAAAAAGAACAAGTTTAGGTCATTCCACAGAGCACAGGGAAGATGCCCAGTTGCTGGTCCCACCCTGGAAAGAAACCAGAAAAGAGGCTTTGTACAGGAGAGTGGAGATTCAAGGGTTAAGTCTGGACCCCTGTCCTAATTCTGTGGTTTTCCTTCTGGAATAGTGAAAGCCTATGTAATCGGATAATCCTCCCCACTCATTTGTAAGTCCCCTAGTCCTCTCTATCCCCCCACACTGTGAAGGCAAGATGGGGAGGGGCTGTAGGCTCATTCTCTTTGGTCTGGGTGGGTAGGGCTCTTTTGAAGGTGTGGTCAGTGGGTTCTCAGTCTCAATCTTGGGCTAAGTACTCCTTCAGAAGAGTGGGGGAGTGTTCTGAAAATACCCAGGAGGATTTCTACTTATCTCTTAATGGAAATAATTTTTTAAGATATTCTCTGCGCTGAGGGTGGGGAGCTAAGTGTCAGGGGATATCCAGCATGTAGGAAGGAGGAGTACTGGGGGAGTGAGAAAGGACAGCATCCTTGCTGACGTTTCTTCTTCCAGTACATGTGGAACCTGGCACCTGTGAAGTGATTGCTGCCCATCGATGCTGCAACCGGAACCGAATTGAAGAGCGATCCCAGACAGTCAAATGTTCCTGCTTCCCAGGCCAAGTGGCAGGGACCACTAGGGCAAAACCTTCCTGTGTGGATGGTGAGTGACTGGGGACATGGTGGGGTAGGGAGCGTGTAGCAAGACTGCATGAGACCAGCAAAGAAAATTGTAAACATGCAAATATAATTCCTGGCTTTGTGAAATGAGAGGAAGTTCTCTTTCCTGCCCGGGTTCCACTGCCCATATGAGAGATTATTGTTGTAATGATAACTGGCAATGGTGATGATAATAACAATAAAAATAATCATTCTTTCCATACACATAGCATGAAAGGCATTATTATTCCTTCTTTCCAGATGAGAAGAGATTTTCTTGCATACTTATCCCTTCATGTTTTTGCCTTCTTACACACCAAGTCTTACACCCTGTTAAACACTTCTCCCCACACTCACCTTTCTATACCCTTGCTTCTTGTATTCTCCTCTCGTGATATACCTCCATACCCACCCTTTGGATGCCCACCATCACAAATCACACTGCTGATATAGCTGAATTTTTTTTTTTGGTAGGGCAGTTGGTGTTAAGTGACTTGCCCAGAGTCACACAGCTAGTGAGTGTTATGTGTCTGAGGCCAGATTTGAACTCAGGTCTTCCTGACTTCAGCGCTGGTACTCTATCCACTGTGCCACCTAGCTGCCCCTATAGCTGAGCTTTAGAGCCGCCATAGTGATGATATAACTTCATACCCTCAGGGCAGCTAGGTGGCACAGGGGTAGAGTGGTGGGCCTGGAATCAGGAAGACTTGAGTTCAAATCTGGCCTCAGATACTTAGTAGCTCTGTGACCCTGGGCAAGTCACTTAACCCTGTGTGCCTCAGTTTCCTCATTTATAAAATGAGCTGGAGAAGGAAATGGCAAGTCACTTGAGTATCCTTGCCAAGAAAACCCCAAATGTGCTCATGAAGAGTTGGACATGACTGAAACAACTGAACAATAACAACGTATACCCTCACTTCCTTGAATAGATTAAGATCTCTCTCTCTCTCTCTCTCTCTCTCTCTCTCTCTCTCTCACACACATACACACACACACACACACACCCATACATATCTACATCTCTCTCTCCCTTTCTTTCTCCATATCTCTCTCCCCCTCCCTCTTCTTTCTCCTTCTTCCCTTCCTCTCCCTTCCTCTCTCTCTTTTTTCTCTCCTCTCTCCCTTCTTTCTCTCCTCTCTTTTCTTTTTCTCTCCTCTCTTTCTTTTCTCTCTCCTCTCTCTATTCTTTCTTTCTTTCTGTCTTTTCTTACTCTCCTCCCACCCTCCCCCATACAACATGAACTCCAGTATATACCTTTTCACACACTTATTCTGGTGCACTCATACGTACAGAACAGAGATGACTTCATTTTTGTCTCAGCAGTGCCTGGCACACGGCAGATGCTTAGTGTTTGTTCCCTGACCATTCCCTTGCCCATTAATGCTTTTGATTATTTGTGTTGCTCACACATAGAAGCAGAGACATAGTTGCACTGCCACAGGAAAGGGCTATGTGGAGGAACTGCCTTCACACTGGTGATATGGTGGAACTTTAGAGCCGCCGTAGTGATGGATCGCTCCTGCTCCCTGCACTTGATTGGCTGGGTTGTCCTTGCAGAGATGAAGGGATTACCTGGGCTTGAAGTCACTGCTAGGAGTACCACTAGGCTTCAGTCCAGGAGGTATCCCTTCTCAGCTCAGCCCTCCTGGAAGTGGAGGTGAAGGATGGCACTGGTAGAGGGCATGTACTGGCCTTGGGGCTCTGCTTCCCTCCCTCCTCTGTAGGAAGCAGACTGTACCCCAGGGGGCTTGTGAATCTTCGAAGGCCTCTCTCATTGTCCACTCCAGCAGCAGGGAGAAGACCTAGGCTCTGCTACTCTTCACCCATATATGTGCACACAGATATCAGTGCTGACCCTTCCCCACTGTCCACTCCCACAGCCTCCATTGTCCTGCAGAAGTGGTGGTGTCAGATGCAGCCCTGCCTACCTGAGGAGGAGTGTAAGGTGCTCCCAGACCTGTCCGGATGGAGCTGTAGCAGTGGGAACAAGGTCAAAACCACCAAGGTACCTAAGAATGGATCCCTCATCTCTCTGACTCTCATTCTTCAAGGAAGAAAGGAAAGGGAAGTTCCTAGTTGTATGGCCAATGGCAGGTGTCCAAACCATGGAGATGAATCCATGGAGATGCCTTGGGTCTGATTTGATTCTGAGAACTAATCAGGATTGTCTCTATATCTTTTTTTTTTCTTTTTGGCTAGGCAATGGGGTTGCCCAGGGTCACACAGCTAGTAAATGTTATGTGTCTGAGGCTGGATTTGAACTCAGGTCCTCCTGCATCCAGGGCCGGTGCTCTATCCACTGCTGTACCCAGCTGCCCCTTGTCTGTACATCTTAAGGTGCTGGGTATCCCTGGCAGGTTCCTGCCTCTTTCATATATCCTTCCTGTGCCCCAGGGTTGGAGAGAAATTTTAGAAACCTACCCTTAAGCTTCACTGAAATAGAGAGAATTCAATCTATAAGTCAAGAACTAATGAAATGATATGGGATAATAGTGGAAAAAACCCCACTTCCACCAGAATTCCTGGAGTTATAGCCACCCTGCTTACTCAGTCTTAGTCTAGGGCTCCTCTCCCACCTCTCATCTTAGCTCTCCCTATACCCTCCTACCCACTTCCCTCTAGGTTGACAGCTCTACTGTGGTAGAGCTCGACACAATGATTATTTTCATGGTTTGCTGTCTGCCCCACAGAACAAGGGGTAATTAAAATTTTATCAAACTCATTAGCAATTCCATGTGTGCCCTGCTTAATCAATTGCATCATTCTCTCATCACCATTTATACAGGCGAGTGAGGCTTCATCTATCTATGCCAGAGCTAGGATGCTTCCCGACCCTGCCCCCTTTGATGCCTAAACCCAAAAATGATTGTGAAAAGACAGACAGAGGCAAGCTTTGTAAAGCAGCCTTCAGAGTCTGAAGGGCTGTTATAAGGAGGATGCCATTCAGCTCTTCTCCATCTCCAGAGAGACTGAAACAAAAGAAAGGGGCTTAAATTGGAGCAGCAGCACCAAATTTCGTTAGCTACAGAGCAGAACTTATTTGTCTACTGAGAGAACCAGTATGTTGTACTGGGAAATGTGCTGGACATAGGTTGAGGGTTCAAATGTGTTTGGGATACCTACTAGCAGTGTGATCAGAGGCAAATCACTTAACCTGTAAAATGCCTCCTTCAAAAAGTAAAGCTCAAATGAGAAAATGTGAGTAAGGTGCTTCAGAGCTACATATATGTGTGCATACATGTATGCATGTATAATATGTGTGTCTATGTCAATATGTGTGTACATGTAGATATATATTGCATATGTGTGTATGTATACATATACATACCCCCACACACGTGTAGGTATATATATGTAGATGTACATATATGTACACCATCTGTTATAATTATAAGTGAGAAAGAGGTTATGGAATTTTCTTGGGATTTTTTTAAGAATAAAGGAGGTAGCCCAGGCCACTTGAAATATTTGCTGTCACTTAATAGGATTGGATTAGTACAAGTCTCTATAAAGCAGAGGGTACTTAATCTTCTTTTGTTCCACACACCCCTTTGGCAGTCTGGTGAAGCCTGTGGACTCCTTCTCAGGATAATGTTTTTAGATACATAAAATAAGGTACCTAGGATTACACAGAAGCCAATTATATTGAAATACAATTATCAAAAATTTTTTTTAAATGAATTCACTGACACCCTGAAATCTATCCATAGATTCCAGGTTAACCATTGCCTTAAAGAGAGGCTGGCTATTTGTTTCTTCCCTATGTCTGTAGCATAGAGAGTTACCACCCAGTGAAAAGTGGGGGCCCCTTTTGCCTTTTCTCAGGCCTCTCTGCTCAGCATGGCCAAGGTTATGGATCAGGGGAAAGAGGCAAAAGCCGTCTGGAAGGCCTTTTCATTGTGGGGAGTTTGTGATTGTTAGGATGGGGTAGTTGCTTCTCTTTGAGTAGACCATGGTGGGTGGTGAGGGTGGGTCTGGGCGTAGCCATACCTAACTCCTCACCCAATTTTTCAGGTCACACGATAGCCCTTGAGGACACATCCTGGCCTGGAGAGGAGCAATGGAAGCATGAGCCAAAGAAGGCTTGAGAGGAACCAGGGTCCTAGAAGATGGGAATAATTGGAAGCTCTTGGGTGGACCTGTCTCATCAGAATTGCAAAGCAATGGAAACACTGTCCTCTGGTGGACCTGAACATCATTGCAGCAATCTCTTTCCAAGGGGCATTTCCATTAAGCAAGTGGCAAGGGTTTCCAGAATATCCTCTGTGGAGAGCTCTGTGCGAAGTGAAGACATATATGCCATAATTCCTGTCCTGAGGGAGCGTACAGTCTAGCTGAGGAGACCAGACACACACAGGAAACTGTGAGAGATAAGTGAGTGCTAGAACTATCATTTTTGAAGCTATTAGGGGATAGTGGAAGTCAGGAAATTAGATTCTCTGTCTTTCAGGCCTCCCCCTCTCCCTGGGCTCATGTTAGCAAGTTAGGGAAATCACATCCATTGTTCCCAGCTGAATCAAATGTCTTCATGAAGCTGCTAATATTCTGAAGGAAACATTCCTCTCTGAGCACAAGTCGGCAATGGCGTCATTCCTTTTGGATGAATGAGAGGCATGTGGGAGGATACGAGACAACAACATCCCGATGGAGTTTGTGCGGGGGGGGGGGGGTCTGTTAAGCAATTGTTTCCGTAGAATTTTGGGGTGGGACCTTATAAGAGCCTCCTTAAAAGAGGAAAGGGTCCTTAAAAGAACTTCTATGAGCAGAGCAAATAAAATGGCAGAGCCTTGTAGAAAGAACACTGGGCTTAGAGTCAAGACCTGGATTAGAGTCTTGGCTCTGCCATTTACTGGCTGTGTGGCCTTGGGCAAGGATCTTAACCTTTATGACCCAAAGTTTTCTCATCTGTTAAACTGTATATCTCTAGGTCCCTTCAAAGAATTCTTTATTTTTATGATTCTATGAGATTCTTTGAGATAATGGATATAAAGGTGTTTTGTAGTTTTTAAAGTACTACATGAAGGTAAGAGTATTACTCTCACATAATCCAGCCCCTCTCCTCAAATTTTTTTTTAACAAATGAAGAAAGTGAGGTCAGAATGGCTAATTGACTTGCCCAAGGTCACATAGCTAGTTTTTCCCTTGCTGTAAAGCCATTATCTTCTGTCTGTCCTGTGAGTTTGGGGTTTTAACTGGAATGAGATTGAGAAATGGGGTGTTTAAATAAGGGTTGCTCATCATGTAGCTCTTTTCCTAAGTCTAGGAGCATGATGTGGTCTGACTCAGGGAAGGGAGGAGATAAGGAGTGGGGATGGAGATCAGAGTGGAGTTGTCAAATTCTGTTGTCCCTTGTATCCAGGAATCTCCCGCTGAGGGCTGGATACCCTCTCAAAATTTAACTGCACAGTCTCAGCATACGGAGCAACTCTCAACCCCAATCCCTGAAGAGTCCAAAGCATTGAGTTGACCTTCAAAGGTCATCTGTGTCCAAAAGCATTTTGAGTGAATGCTGTTGTGTTACATCCACCTACTCCTGATCCTTAGGCAGATAGAAGCGAGGGATTTGTGTCTCCTATCCATCATAGCCAAACTGGTGTAGTTCTTATAGACCCCCAGTATTCAGAGTCAGAAGGAGCCTTAGAGACAATCTTCCCCTTGTTCTGCAAAAGAATAAGGAACCCAGGGCCAGAGAAATGAAATAAATCACCCTAGGTTGAACAGGTAGTTAGCAGCAGAGCCAGGACCGGACTCAGGTCTTCTAAAACCCAGTCAGGTTCTTTTTCCTCTATAACACATGTCCCTGGAGCCAGAATCAGGGGGGTCCAAGGATGGGATATGGTCTTTGGCAGGATCAGGTTTGGGGGGAATGAGAGTATTGGAGGAGAAGTTGGTGACTGAATGGTCAAGTTGAAGAAAAAAAAACTTGTTGAAGACTTCTGGGCCATGGATACCCCAAGTGGATCCTGAATATAAAAATGGTAGTGACTCAGGTTTGGGAGGAAAGAACTATTGGGGTAGAAGGAACTGTAAGGCTGAATGTTGATCCAGATGAGGCTGCCAAGCCTTGAAGGAATTATAGAATGTCAGAATAAGTCTCAGAGGTCATCCTGACCAAGTCATACCTGGATAGAACTCCCCTCTTCACATCCCCAACAAATGGTCATCTAGTCTCAAGTTGAAGACCTCCAGTTATGGGGAATCCAACAAGAGGGGGCTCTCCAGGCAAGTAAGGGAATGCCTGGGCTCCCCCAACCCCAGCCCAGCCCTTGGTCCTATCTCTTCCTCAGGAGAGTACATACCTGCCTGATACTCTCTATCTCCTCTCAATGCTGCTCTGTCCTATTTCGTGTTGTTGTTGCTAAGTGGTGTGATGGATAGAGTGCTGGGCCTGGAATCAGGAAGACCTGAGTTCAAATTGGGCCTCAGACACTCACTAGCTGTGTGACCCTGGGAAAGTCACTTAACCCTGCTTGCCTCAATTTTCTTCTCTGTAAAATGAGCTGGAAATGGCAAACTACTTCTGTAGCTTTGCCAAGAAAAACCCAAAAGAGGTCATGAAGAGTCAGACATGCCTGAAAATGACTAGATGTAACAACAACAAATTTTTTAAAAACCAAAAAAAATTTTTTTTATGGGCAGCTAAGTGGTACAGTAGATAGAGTGCTGGGCCTGGAGTCAGGGAGACTCATCTTCCTGAGTTCAAATCCAACCTCAGACACGTCTTAGTTGTGTGATCCTGGGCAAGACATTTAACCCTGTCTGCCTCAGTTTCCTCATCTATGAAATGAGCTGGAAAAGTAAATGGCAAACCACTCCAATACCTTTGCCAAGAAAACCCCAAATGGGGTCAAGGAGAGTTGCACATGACTGAAACAACCCAACGACAACATCTTCACCCCCCTCCTCCACTCCAGCCTGCTCCCCCGTTTGTTATCTTCATATTTTTGTAACTGAGTATTTAATCTCAACCTCTCGTTTGATTGTAAATACCAGATTCTGAAATATTAAATTCATTTTAATCTCTGCAAATGCCAGGGTCAAGAGGAGGGTGTAGGGGGAGGAATAGGTGAAAGATTTGCCGTCTCTTCCTGCAGGACCTGGAAACTGGCCTGTTCTCCCTTGGAGCAAGGAAATGGTTTAGATGATCTTTGGAGGATGTGGCCACCTTTTCATCAAGACAATGTCCTCTCCATCCTGTTGCTTGGAGTATTAGGAACCGAAGCAGCAGATCTGGTTTTTTTTAGATAACTCTCTCTGAGAGATTGCTGAGTGAATAATTTAGAATGTGAACAAGGAAGCAGTAGCAGAGTTGGGCAGTGAGATACTATATTCGAATTCCCAGGTGATGGAGCAGAAGAATCCTTACTTCTTAGGGTTGAGACTAGGAGTGAAGGATAGAGTCTTGGCCCCTAACAGCTTCTCTTCCTATCTCTAACCATTTAGCCCAAGGAAGGACTCTCCCTGAATAATCTCTGATCCACCAATTCCAAGCCCACTCTCCCCATGGACAAGTGGGTCATAAGCTATGGAATGAGACTGAGAGAATGAGGATGGTGCCTAGAAGTCTTCATTACTCAGTCATAAACTCATGCCCCAACCTAGTAGTCAGTGGGAAATGTAGCACAGGCAGTGTTCCCTAACTAATCTCAATTGTCCCCTCTGTTTTCCAGAAGTATAAATGGGAATTTTTTTTAACCTGAGGGCAATATGGTGAGAGTAAGGTGACTGAGAAACACAGAACATAGTCAGACCCCAGGAGGAGGAGATGATTTGTCCAATCCTCTTCCTTCCTCAACCTCTGATGGTTGAAATACCAGCCCCCTTGACCTCTCTTGGGTCCCACCTTTCTCCCAACCCTCTTATGGGGTGGGGCAGGGCTGTCAGAGAGCCAGGAGGCATGACACATATGGAAGACGTTGCCTGGGACAAAGCTTTAGCTACTCCAACTGGGCTCAAGCAATAAACATCCATCTGCTTCCCATCCTACCTCACACTACTCATTCAAAATCCCATCAGCACTTATTAAACACACTCCTTTCCATTTGCTGAAATTTGCTAATTCCATCCCCTGGGCTGTTTCCTTTCTCCTTTTTAGACCCCCTTTCTCCCTTCTATTGTGTTTTCCTCCTTCATCAATGAGAGTGCTGCACAAATAATTGGGCATCACTAGTGAAAGGTTCCTTTCTTTCTCCCTCTTACAGTAGTTGTGATAATTTTTTTGATCAGCATTGATGACAACTTAGGAATTTTAATGCATTTCCCTGGGGTGGGGGGATTCTTGAGGCCCTCCCCAGCTGGGAGAGAGGGCTCTTAGGTTCCCTCACCAGCTGTGCAGGGAGCCTTCAGGCCAAAAGAAGGTTCCATCCCCTGGGGACCATGTGGGTGATTCGTATTTGCTGCCTGGCAGCTTAATTAAGGTTTGTGAGTTACCTGCTAATTAGTGGCCCCAAATAATTCCCAGGGTTGGGGGCAATGACAGCTCCAGCTGTACTCTGAGTCCTGTCTGTGGACACACGTCCAGGGCCTGGGAGAAAGCAGGCTCCAGGCAGGGAAGAATAAGAATGTTTTCTCCTTGAGTCACCCAGCCTGCTGAACTCAGGGGACAAAGGAAGAGAAATGAGAAACAATTAGGAGATGGAGAGAGATGAACTGATACAGTTCGGGAGAAAGAGGGAGAGGAGGAGGGATTATCTAGAAGAATTTGTCAGGTGTTCGGAACACTGGGGAATATTTTAATTCTCTGTATGAAACTATTGAGCTATTGTCCTTCGTGGGTGGGGGTGGGGAGAAGGGGGAGGAGGTACAGGGCTGAATGGGGGGAGCCTTTTGAGTGGTTTATTTAAGGACTAGCCTTCTCTGATTGAGGGGCACTGAGATGCTGGTACTTCCATCAAACCCTCCTCATTAAATCTTAGCAAAAGAGGCCTTCACAGTAATCAATATGGTGAAATGATGAATTTGAATTTATTTCCTGGGCCATTCTGCTGCCTCTTCCCAGATTTATTGAGACTGGTCCTGCACTAACTCCATTCCCATTGATCTTCTAAAATGCCCCTAATGATGTTTAACAACCACAAGAAACAGAGAGACTCAGAGGAAGGGAGACATCAGGACGGTGAGAATTCTATAAGAAAGAAGCAGTCACAACACAATTGAAGAGAACTCATCTTTTATTATACATTCTTATTTAGAATCTTTTTTTTTAATGGCTATAGATACATGTGTGTGAATACGTGATTTTCTGCGCATGTGTGTACAGTCATGTGCACCTGGTTGTGGGTTTCTGTGTACACAGTTGCCTCTTTGTATGTGTGTGCTTATATATCTTTCTGTACACAAGGACTACACAGTTTTACTCCCACTTCTTATGAGCAAGTGTCAGGGGATGCTGGAGCCCCAACTGTAGAGAATGGGGGTTTGTCTTCCTTTCCCCCTGTGTGGAGGAGCAGCTGGTCTGACTTCTTGGGTTTACAATGAACTTTCAGAATTGACTTTGAAGAAATCTAGAATCTAAAGGAAAATAATGAAAAATGTAGAAATGAAATCATCAAACTATTTGGTAGAATAGAAAACAAGATTAGTGGAACAGATAAAATAAAGGAGAATCTGAAACAAGTGACCTAAATAAGCTGTTGCTCATAGATCTGAGAATATACATTTTACGTGAGTAAGAACTCCTTATTTGATAAGAATTATTGGGAAAACTTAAAGTGGTTTGACAGAAATTAGGTTTAGACAAATATCTTATATCATATACCACAATAAGCTCAAAATGACTATGTGACTAAATATTAAAGCCCATACCATAAAAAGTTGGAAGGGACCCAGACTGGGTACCTTTCACAATTATGACTAAGAGGAGAATTCTTTTTTTAAAAAAATGTTATTTTTACTTCTATTTTAACATGTGTTTTTCAAACTTTGGGTTACAAATTTTCTCCCTTCCTCCCTCCCTACCCACCCTCATTGAAAAGGCAAGCATCTTGATACAGGTTATAGATGTATAGTGATGCAAAACACTTCCATAGTAGTCTTGTTGTAAAAAACTAAGTATATTTCCCTTCATCCTATCCTACTCCCCATTTATTCTATTCTCTCTTTTGACCCTGTCCTTCCTCAGAAGTGTTTGCTTCTGATTATCCCCTCCCCCAATCTGCCCTCCCCTCTATCAACTCCCTGCTCTCTTGTCCCTTTCCCGCCTTATTTTCCTGTAGGGTAAGATAGATTTCCATACCTATGGGGAGAATTTTTAACCACCCACCTCTAGGTGATGAAAATAAATAAAAGAGAGAATTTCAGTTCCATGAATTTGAAAAGCTTTTGCACCAATCACAACATCTAGAAAAAGAAGAGAAATTGTTGACTGGAAAAACTTTATATCAACTATCTTTCATAAGGGTCCAATATCCAAGATATATAGGGAATTAATGCCAATATATAAGCCCAAAAGCCATCTCCCAATCGTTAAGTGGTCACAAAATATAAATGAACAGTTCTCAAAAGATGAATTGCAAAACTATTAACAAGCATGTGAAAAATTGATCTAAATCCCTATAGGGGAAATGCAAATCAAAAAATTTCTTAGTTTCCATCTCAAACCCAGAAAATTGACAATAATGGCTAGAGATGGGAATAGTCAAAGCTGAAATGGTTGGAGAAAGACAGACATAGAAAACTCTGCTGTTGGAGTTGGGAATTGGTACAGTCATGTTGGAAAGTAATTCTCAGTTATGCTAAGAAAGTTACTAGAATGTCTATCCCTTTTAACCCAGAGATGCCACTGCTAGGTATAAATGATGAAGAGTCAGGGGAAGAAGGAAGTTCCTTATATATGCCCAAATATTTATAGCAGTGCTTTTGTAGTAGCAAAGAATAAGAAACAAAGCAGATGTCCACTAATTGGGGAATGGGTAAACAAATTGTGGTATATGGAAATAATTAATAATTATGGAACTATAAGAATTGATGACTGTAGTGAATAGACCTACTTTTGTGGGAACACATATGAACTGATGAAAAGTGAAGTAAGCAGAACAGAGACAACAATCTTCATAATGACTACAACAAAGGTTGAGATAAATGGGAATGACAACAACATACACACATATCCCAGATACCTACAGATATTACAATTTTTAAAAAATATATTATTTTATTTTTTTTTTTTTAGGCATCTAGGTTGCACAGTAGATAGAAGGCCAGGTCTGGAGTTAGGAAGACTTCAATTCAAATCCAGCCTCAGACACTTACTAGCTATATGACCATGGGCAAGTCACTTAGCATCTATTTGCCTTAGCTTGCTCATCTGTAAAATGGGGATAATAATAGCAACTACCTTGGAGGGTTGCTGTAAGAATCAAATGAAATAATATATGTAAAGTGCTCAGTACAGTGCCTGACACATATTTGGAGCTATACAAATGTTAACTAT